ACTGGCTAGACTAACTTCCTATTCAAAAAATTGTGAGCTGACATGGCTAATTGAGTGACTGTCAGTGACTGACAAAACAAGAGAAAAACTGCTGATGCACAACAAATTTAGAACTTCCACCTTGTGTATTCAAATATTCTAACTCTCAACAGTAAATTGAGACCCCGACTGAGTTTTTGGTCGGGGACCCCTTAGCGGCCGGGGCCCCTAAGCGACCGCTCATGTGGCTTATGCCTGGAGCCGGCCCTGCTGTCTCGTCCCCACTCCCGACACGTTCATTATTATGGGACACAGTAAAAATCGAATAATAATAACAATGTTGCAAATGTTGGAAATAATGTCTAGATTATTTTTACATTGGAGATCAAGTTTATAAGTTGTATGGCTGAGCAGATGAGACAGTGGATCTGTAAAAGTAGTAGTGCGTTGCTAGGTAATGATGTAAAGATGGCACTTTTTATGAATGTGGCCATGTGTATGTTGTCTAGCCGATAAAGGGTGAACTTAAAACTTAGAACTACTGTTGGATGCTGGTGGAAAATGCTTTATTCAGTTCATATACATGATTTATTTAGCTAGCCAGAGAGCATACACAACAGGGGCAGGCCATGATACAGTATGATGACAGTCAAATCCTTCGAATGAACACAATAAAAAATAGTGACTGTACAAATGTCTATAACGTCACAAATCAGCTGATAAAGCTATTCAGACAATGGCCATGGTAAGTTGATCTGTTGCTACACACATTGTTGCACAGTCTACCTCCAAAAAATCAGTTCTCTAAAAATGTGAATTCCCTCTCTCGAAACTGCAGTTCATGTTCTATTGCTCCTTTGGATCTCTCAGCTGGCTAATGCAAAGAAACAAGCCTCACAGAACAGGACCGCCGAGTGCTGAAGCGGTGATCTTAGGCACACAAGCATAAGATCACTGTGCGCAATGCCAAGCATCGGCTGGAGTGGTGTAAAGCTTGCCGCCATTGGACTCTGGATCAGTGGAAACGCATTCTCTGGAGTGATGAACCACGCTTCACCATCTGGCAGTCCGATGGACGAATCTGGGTTTGGCGGATGCCAGGAGAACGCTACGTGCGCAAATGCATAGTGCCAATTTTAACGTTTGGTGGAGGAGGAATAATGGTCTGGGGCTGTTTTCATGGTTCGGGCTAGGCCCCTTAGTTCCAGTGAAGGGAAATCTTAAAGCTACAGCATACAATTACATTCTAGACGATTCTGTGCTTCCCCGTGCACAAAGCGAGGTCCATACAGAAATGGTTTGTCGAGATCGGTGTGGAAGAACTTAACTGGCCTGCACAGAGCCCTGACCTCAACCCCATCAAACACCTTTGGGATGAATTGGAACACCGACTGCAAATCAGGCCTAATTGCCCAACATCAGTGCCCGACCTCACTAATGCTCTTGTGGCTGAATGGAAGCACAGCAATGTCCCCACAGCAATGTTCCAACATCTAGTAGTGGAAAGCCAATAATATCACTAGCTAGCATCACAGCCTAACAAAACTCTGGTAAGGAGATTGCACAGCTCTCTCATCTTTGAACTCCGTTTGCCAGTGAGCGTGCACAGACACACACACACTTTTCCTTCAATCATTGTATTTTCAATACAGAGCAGCACTATTTTGGTTGATTTTGTGGTCTCAAGCCAGTAAGTTTATTAACATTTTTCATCAAGAATATAGGCAAAATGTAATTATTGACAATGAAAGAGGTGGTAATGTTGTTCCCTTGTCATATAATTGCTACATTTACTATCAATGTAGCATTAAAAATAGTTTTCCATATTGTATTTTGGCGATATTTTTTTGCGATGCCAATATTGGGTCACGACTGAGTCAACCTGGTTTGTGGCAATACCAGTTGAGAACCACTGCTTTAGAGCACGTGTCAAACTCGTTCCACAGAGGGAAAGGGGGATACCCAATCAGTTGTACAGTGTGGAAGAGTGTCTGTGGGTTTTCGCTCCTCCCTTGTACTTGATTGATGAACTAAGGTCATTGATTACTAAGGAACTCCCCTCACCTGGTGGTGTAGGTCTTAATTGAAAGAAAACCCCCAAAAAAACAGCAGACACTAGGCCCTCCATGGAATGAGTTTGACACCCCTGCTTTAGACTCTCCGATAGCCACTTCTGCAAGGCTGCAGGCTATAGCAGGGTTTCCCAAACTCGGTCCTAGCCCCCCGCCCCCCGGGTGCACGTTTTGGTTTTTGCCCTAGCAGTACACAGCTGATTCAAATAACCAACTCATCGTCAAGCTTTGATTATTAGAATCAGCTGTGTAGGGCTAGGGCAAAAACCCTGGGCTATAGAGTGCTATCCCGACCCTACATGCCCTCCAAATTAGGGGCTGGTTTGTGATTCACTAACCTAATGTCGCAGGCCAGGGATTCGCCGTCTGCCTGTAGCTTCTCAACACCCTGTTATCTGCTGCCATCTGGTGACTAAAGTGGTGCATGAAGCATTGGCTCTTCTGCAAGGAAGGTTGATAAGGATAGGACATACAGGTCGTCACTAGATGGCAATATGCAGAGACAGGGAGCCTCTTAATTTAAATAAACACCCAACACCAACAAATGAGCACACCGGAACCTAAAACTAATCAGTGAGTGGCAAATGACGGTCAGTGCCCCGTTTATTGTTTTTTCAAAACATGTAAACAAACATACAAGACTGTGACCTGGAAACAATAATATGCAAAGACTGTGTTAACCAATAATCATTAACCAAAAAATAAATAAATATATATATATATCAAAACACCAAAACATGAACATACTTCTTTGAATGTCATATGTTCGCAAATACTGGAATGCTTGACAACATCAATATACAGTACCAGTCAAAGGTTTGAACACACCTACTCATTCAAGGGTTTTTCTTTATATTGACTTTTCTCATTGTATAATTATAGTGAAGGCATCAAAACTATGAAATAACACATATGGAATCATGTAGTAACCGAAGAAGTGTCAAAATATATTTTATATTTGAGATTCTTCAAAGTAGCCACCCTTTGCCTTGATGACAGCTTTCACACTCTTGGCATTCTTTCAACCAGCTTCATGAGGAATACTTTTCCAACAGTCTTGAAGGAGTTCCCACATATGCTGAGCACTTGTTGGCTGCTTTTCCTTCACTCTGCGGTCCAACTCATCCCAAACCATCTCAATTGGGTTGAGGTCGGGTGATTGTGGAGCCCAGGTCAACTGATGCAGCACTCAATCACTCTCCTTCTTGTTCAAATAGCCCTTACACAGCCTGGAGGTGTGTTTTGGGTCATTGTCCTGTTGAAAAACAAATTACAGTCCAACTAAGCGCAAACCAGATGGGATGGTGTATCGCTGCAGAATGCTGTGGTAGCCATGCTGGTTAAGTGTGCCTTGAATTCTAAATAAATCACTGACAGTGTCACCAGCAAAGCCCCACCCGCACCTCCTCCTACATGCTTCATGGTGGGAACCACACATGTGGAGATCAACTGCTCACCTACTCGGCGTCTCACAAAGACAAGGCCGTTGGAACCAAAAATCTCAAATTTGGACTCATCAGACCAAAGGACAGATTTCCACCGGTCTAATGTCCATTGCTCGTGTCTCTTGGCCCAAGCAAGTCTCTTCTTCTTATTGGTGACCTTTAGTAGTGGTTACTTTGCAGCAATTTGACCGTGAAGGCCTGATACACGCAGTTTCCTCTGAACAGTTGATGTTGAGAGATGTGTCTGTTACTTGAACTCCGTGAAGTATTTATTTGGGCTGCAATCTGAGGTGCAGTTAAGTCTAATGAACTTATCCTCTGCAGCAGAGGTAACTCTGGGTCTTCCTTTCCTGTGGCGGTCCTCATGAGAGCCAGTTTCATCATAGCGCTTGATGGTTTTTGCGACTGCACTTGAAGAAACTTTCAAAGTTCTTGAAATTTTCCGAATTGACTGACCTTCATGTCTTAAAGTAATGATGGACTGTCATTTCTCTTTGCTTATTTCAGCTGTTCTTGCCATAATATGGACTTGGTCTTTTACCAAATAGGGCCATCTTCTGTATACCACCCCTACCTTGTCACAACACAACTGATTGGATCAAACACATTAAGAAGGACATTAATTATACAAATTAACTTTTAACAAGGCACACCTGTTAATTGAAATGCATTCCAGGTGACTACCTCATGAAGCTGGTTGAGAGAATGCCAAGAGTGTGCAAAGCTGGCATCAAGGCAAAGGGTGGCTATTTGAAGAATCTCAAATATAAAAAATATTTTGATTTGTTTAACACTTTTTTTGGTTACTACATCATTCCATATATGTTATTTCATAGTTTTGATGTCTTCACTATTATTCTACAATGTAGAAAATAGTAAAAATAAAGAAAAACCCTGTCCAAACTTTTGACTGGTACTCTATATTCTTAAATATAAATTTCTATATAGACATAGATTCAATATTTTATATATTCATTCATATTTCCCCTTTAGGCCCTCTTTTCAATTGGTTCACATTCCTTACATGATCTTTACCCCTGGATCTTTTTGTGGCACTTTAGACCTGACGATAGACATCCAAAGTCAAAGAAATGTAAAGGCAGTTTTTAAACAAGCGCACAAGCCATCTTTTTGCGATAAATATATATCCACTGCTATATCCTCGAGGTAGGGAAATGCATCCAGCACTAGCCATTCCCTCTCACATTCCCTGATAAGATAGCATGTATCCAGACCAGGGTTCAAACACTATTTGAACTCTTTCAAATATTTTTTGTGTTTGCTTTAACCTGCCTAGTGTCAGGTGGGTGGGGTTTGCAGTTTTGCGACTATTCTATTGGTTCCATTGACCCAGGCAAGCTCAATCAAGCCCAGAAGAAGTATTTGAAATGATTTCAAATAGTATTTGAACTCAGGTCTGCACATAAATTGGGGGAAAGAGATATTGCATGTCCCTCTGGCCCTCTTTCAATCCTTCAGTCAATGGGAATCGAAACAACAAGCGTTACAACGTCTCTTTGTTGTTGTACTTTAGGGAGTAACCAACTGCAATTTCTAGACATTCCACCAGGGAGCCAGCGGAGAGGAAATCTAGCTCCACCTCGATAAATTTGATGTAGATGGCCGAGCATTCAGGGCCCATGGAGAGGCCCTCTTCCCTTGCCTGCTGCCCTGTGCCACTGCAGTTCCCCTGGAGGAAGCGTGTGACGGCCGAATGCTGCCTGCGGCTGTAGTTCTTGCCGGGGCTCTGAAAGTGCTGGAACAGACATTGCTGTAGGGTCCTCTCCTCCGCGATGCCCAGGTAGCAGTAGGTCACTTTGGCCCCCGTCTTCTCCCCCTCCCCCACTCTCCCCCCCACCTCCACCACACTCTCGGACCCAGACCCGCCAGAGCCCGACGATCCAGAGAGAGGCAAGCTCTGGTCAGAGTGTTGGTGCTGCAGCGGAGAGTCTGGGACCTCATCCTCCCCTGTGTAGTCTGACTCCGCCACCACCTCCTCGTAACCGATGGCATACAGGCCGTAAGTCTTGGGGATGCCCCCAGGTAGGAGGTACTGGGAGGCCCCGTTGCTGCAACCCGTCACCCTTGACTGAGCTATTGGGATCCAGTCCACCTCGATGTGCAGCTCCAGGCAGCGTGCCTCGCTAATGGTGATGTCCAGGAACTTATAATAAACGTTCTTCCAGTTCATCTTCTGCACTTTGGTCATGATGACACGGCCCTCTGCCTTCTCCGGGTTGAAGTACTCGCGCAGCCGCTTTCCCAGGGGCACCTGGGAGCTGATCTCGGCGTAGTGGTAGCAGACGTCCTCGCGCCAGCGTGTGTTGTAGCCCACGCCGAAGATGGCCAGCTTGTTGGAGAGGTGCAGTCGGGAGAAGTCGGTCCACGTCTGGAAGTGCTCCCACTTCACCTGCACAGACTCCAGGATGCGCACCACATTCTGCATCACTTCCTGTTTCCTGAGAGGGACAGAAATACATTAACGGTCAAGATGAGGTTGGAATCAGTGGAGGGTTGATAATGAGAACAGATTATACATTTTTATGAAGACTGGACATTGAATAATGCAGTGACTAAGTCTCTGTCAGTGATTTGTTTTCAATAACATCTTGGCAGTAAAAAGCATTTATTTTGACCTTATATCCATGATACATGTAGTGTTATCAGGTATCATTAATTCTATGGCAAAAACACATACTGGAGTTTCTCCGAGGGCTCAGGTCGAAGCTGCGGGACACTGGCATTCTTTGGCGGCTGTGTTTCCTCTGAAGAAATAAAGGAACAGTATTTTTTTATCACCATCAAAAGAACACATCAAATGCTAGCTACCCTGACAGGCATATAAGCTCATTACTCCTACAGTATTCATTTTGACAGAGTGAAGGAAGAGCCTGCATACTAAAGACAGGGCTTCCAAACGTTTCACACTCCCATAGCTACCCCTAATAAGAACTACCAGCTCCCTGGATAGTCTATTTACCCCTTTAACAAAAATAAGTCTGCTGACCCCTTCACTATTGCCTGCTTTTGTCATCACCACAATCATGATCATCATCATCATCATCACCACCACTCACCAGTTTCCATCTCTCCCTCCTGGAAGGCGGAGGCCAGCACCTGGTTGCACCAGTCTTCCTGGGAGAAGTCCTCCATGGTGCTGCCGTCAGACTCCATCTCCTGGTACAGGCCGCTACTGTTGATGAGGACGGGGGCACACGTCTGGGAGTCCCAGCCTCCCTGGCCAAACACCTTTTCCAGCTGCTCGATGGAGTAGCTACTCTTCCTCTTGCCGACGCCGTGCTCCTTCACTCGGCTGTAGCACCGGCGCAGCGTCTGCGGGTCATAACGGGTGCGTGAACGTCAGAGGAAGAGCTTGAAGTTAGTGTTAGCTATTAGGCTAGCTATAGGCCTATCCAATGCCACAAATTCAGCAGACGGCATAGTCACCCACAAAAGGACTAGGATCTAAATGAATGAATGGCTACATTCATTTACTGAAATTATTTGCTTTGAAATTCAAATAGCTGAGGATATTTTATTCTCTACAATTGCACTAAATGCAAAATGCAGCACCCTTATGCAAACTTCCAGTCAGCTTACCTGCTAGCTATCTAGGTGCTTTTAGCAATGTGGGTGCATTTTCATACACTAGTGATGCTTTCAATTGTATTGGGTTGCACAGAAACAGTCAGTGGGAAGCCAGAAGTTAAATACAATTCCATTTAAAACTTACTGTGCCGGTGGGCATTATGACGGGAGGAAACAGACAAAAAATATCTAAAGGATCGTATTATTAAATATACAACAGGTGGGTCTAATCCTGGATGCTGATTGGATAAAACCGCATTCTAGCCGGTGTCTATTCCACAAGTTACCACCGGCTAAGGCTATGACGTTGAAATGCCTATTTACTGTTCCATCTCACTGCGCAATCCAACAACATTGACTGGTTATCATCTAGTTGTCCTCTCAACAGGAAGCTTCTTACTGTGACTAACACCTGTAACATGACCCAGGTTATCACTCAACCAACTAGAGTGTATACCAATAGTGTTGGATCTGTGACATCCACTTGTATTGATCATATCTTCACCAATGCTGCAGAGCTTTGCTCCAAAGCAATATCAGTTCCCATTGGCTGTAGTGACCATAATATTGTGGCAATAATAAGGAAAGCCAAAGTACCAAAGGCAGGCCCTAAAGTTATTTATAAGAGATCATACAAAATGTTTTCTCAGGACTCTTTTGTTGAAGATGTAAAATATTTATGTTGGTCTGATGTGTATAAGGAGGAGAATCCAGATGAAGCACTTGGAGTATTTGTAAATTATTCTTGCCAACTGTTGACAAACATTCACCTGTTAAGAAACTAACTATGAGAACTGTTAGAGCCACCTGGATCGACGCTAAATTGAAATATTTTATGGTTCAAAGAAATTATGCAAAAAAGGTGGCAAACAAGTCAGGCTGCTCATGTGATTTGTTGACATACTGTAAATTGAGAAATAAATAAACTAAACCAAAAAATTAAAATATATATATATATATATATATATATTACCAAAACAAGATAAATGACATAAGAAACTATGAGAAAATACTTTGGAGCACGTCATAGATGTACGGACCGCTGTTTAGGGGACCTGCGTGGTTCTGGTACCGGTTCTGACCAACATTTTCGCGTATAAATCGATCTGTGGATACCGTAGATCGAAATGGCTTGCATTGAGCGATAGCCATGGTTCCAACGGATACAGTAGTATTTTTTCTGAGCCTGTGTGACGTAGGATGTGAAAGCTGAAACCACTTGAAGATGGGATTTACATTTACATTTAAGTCATTTAGCAGACGCCCTTATCCAGAGCGACTTACAGTTAGTGAGTGCATACATTATTTTTTTATTTTTTTTATACTGTCCCCCTGTGGGAATCGAACCCACAACCCTGGCGTTGCAAACGCCATGCTCTACCAACTGAGCTACATCCCTGCCGGCCATTCCCTCCCCTACCCTGGATGACGCTGGGCCAATTGTGCGCCGCCCCATGGGTCTCCCGGTCACGGCCGGCTACGACAGAGCCTGGATTCGAACCAGGATCTCTAGTGGCACAGCTAGCACTGCAATGACCTTCCTACCATTTCATTCGCTCTTCAGACTGTCCATCAACTCCTGGCTGAACCCTACATCAGCCACTAACAAAGCACTGCAATTCAGAGATCGATTTATAGCCATTAATCTAAAATAATTCATAGATTTTAAACAAAATACACTTTTTGTTTGTCATAGACAAGATTATTATGAGATGAAAGGCAAGTTCCTAACGAGTTCAGGAAGCCAAGCTAGAGCTCTGTGAGCCATTCACAGCGATGTTTTGATTAAGAGACCTTTAGAAAATATGCACTTTTTCTCTAACACTAAACATACAAATATGTCTATTACAGTTATAAGGAAGGTGAAATCCTATAGTGAGTAGTTTTATACATTTGATCATGCTATATTTAGAAAGCATATGTCATTTCAAGCCTTATTCCGTTTTGTTGAATAGGAAATGCATCATATAAAATATTTAATATTTTAATATTTGTATCATATTTGTACTGTGTACTTGAGCTTGTGTCCTCAAAAGTGACTACCTCAGCAATTTATAACTATTTTTACCAGAAAGGTGAGATTTTAACCTTTCTTTGAGTATGCAGCATTACTAGTTATTGTTTATGGCCCTCTCGTGATAAATCATTACTTTTGGGGATTACGTAGATGACATTTTCGATGACATTTTTACATTTAACTGGTTAAATGATAGTACGGGCAGAAAACCCAATACATCTCCATCATTAATTGAAGTTGATGGGTCATTTATAACAAAACCTTTTAATACAGCCAATCATTTCAATGACTATTTCACCGGTAAAGTGGATAAACTGAGAAGTGAAATGACAACGTTGAACAATCATATTTGTGTATTGAAGATCTAATAAAGAAGGATTGCCATTTTGAATTTGGTCAAGTTTGTGTGGAAGAGGTGGAAAAACGGTTGTTATCCATCAATAATGATAAGCCACCAAGTATAGACAACCTAGATGGGAAACTATTGCGAATGATAGCAGAATGTATTGCTACCCCTACTTGTCATGTCTTTAACCAAAGCCGAAAGGAGTGTGTCCAAAGGCGTGGAGGGAAGCTAAAGCAATTCCACTACCTAAAAACCTTTGCTGGCTCTAACAGCTCTAACAGCCCAATCAGTTTGCTGCCTGTTCTTAGTAAACAGATGGAGAGAATTGTTTGATCAAATACAATGCTATTTTTTAAAGAACAAGTTAACTACTGACTTTCAGCATGCACATGGGGAAGGGCACTCAACTTGTACTGCACTGACTCAGAGTACTGATGATTGGCTAAAATAAATGGATAATAACATGATAGTTGGAGCTGTATTGTTAGATTTCAGAGCAGCCTTTGATGTTATTGATCATAATTTATCTGGAGGAAAAAAAAAACTCACCTGTTATGACTTTACGTCACCAGCCATCACATGGTTGGAGAGTTACTTATCCAATAGAATTTTTCTATGGAAGCTTCTCTAACATCAGATATGTACAGTGTGGTATCCCTCAAGGCAGTTGCCTTCCTACAGCCAGTGAGCTCACTGAGACTCTTAGCAAGGAGTTACAGTCAGTGTCAAAATGGGTAATTAACAATAAACTGGTCTTAAATACATCTAAAACCAAAAGCATTGTATTTGTTTCAAAGCATTCTCTTAGACCTAAACCTCAACTGGAGTTGTGCATAAAGGGTGTGACCATTGAACCAGTTGAAGAAGCTGAACTCCTAGGAGTAACATTGGATGGTCAGTTATCATGGTCAAGTCATATTGACAAAGTTGCTGTGAAGATGGTTTTTGCGATTGCACTTGAAGAAACTTTAAAAGTTATTGAAATTTTCCAGATTGACTGACCTTCATGTCTTAAAGTAATGATGGACTGTTGTTTCTCTTTGCTTATTTGAGCTGTTCTTGCCATAATATGGACTTGGTCTTTTACCAAATAGGGCTATCTTCTGTATACCTTGTCACAACACAACTGATTGGCTCAAACGCATTAAGAAGGAAAGAAATTCCACAAATTAACTTTTAACAAGGCACACCTGTTCATTGAAATATATTCCAGGTGACTACCTCATGAAGCTGGTTGAGAGAATGCCAAGAGTGATCAAAGCTGTCATCAAGGCAAAGGGTGGCTACTTTGAAGAATCTAAATATAAAATATATTTTGATTTGTAAAAAAAAAAAAAAAAAAAATGTTACTACCTGATTCCATGTGTTATTTCATAGATTTGATGTCTTCAGTATTATTCTACAATGTAGAAAATATTTTTTTTTTTTTTTAAGAAAAACCCTTTAATGAGTAGGTGTTCTAAAACTTTTGACCGGTAGTGTACATACATACACCACCAGACATGCCACTATGGGTTTCTTCGTGGTACCCAAACCAAAAACAGATTAAATGTGTCACTCAGTTATGTATAGAGCCATGTCATCGTGGAATACTCTGCCACCAGAAAGACTATCATGAAAGACCATCATGCATGTTGTTGATGTTAGTTCTGATGATTCGTAAAAATAAAAAACTGATACAAAACATTGTATCACAGCGCCTCTCCTCTTTCTAAAGATCTAATTTAACTGCACTGTATATAAGAATATGAATATGTACAGTATATATGAATAGTGTGTAAATAGTATTTTTGGTGTCTCTTGGTGTCTTTCATAAACATATATACATATATAATTTTTATTATGTTGTGATCACGAGAAAATTATCTTGTGATCTCGACAAAACAACTTTTGTTATGTCGTCGTGGTCATGAGATAAATAAGTTGTGATCGACATAATGAGGGAATAATTTTTAGATTCAAATGTCCTCTCTGGACCGCCGTAGGGTCGCGTCCATAGATATGGACGCTGGTGTTTCGACTTCGTCTCAACACCCGTGCCAATATATCCTCCAAACACCGGCTTCGAGGGCATTATTACTTAAACAGACTTTCCAAACGTGGGTCTGTTGTAGAGGTCTTCATGGGTCCACCCAATCCCGAATACCCAAGGCTCGACCCGGGACCTGAGCGAGTCCGGGTCCTAAATTCTAACTTTTCTCTTGGGTCCAGGTCGGGTCCTGTTTGATTGAGTGGACCCTACCGCGGCTCTGCATAGCCTATAGCATATTTATTTTAAACTAAAAAGGTGAATTTATTGACTTATAGAAGGACTAGCCAACATATTCCTTAACCAGAAGAGCAAGTTGGCTGATAAACATATTTATTTAGTCACTCAGGTCCAATCGGGTCTGGTCTAGACCCGGACCCGTAAGGGTATGGGTCGAGTCTAGGTCTGGTTGTTGTAGGGTCCATTCGGGTTCAGGTTGGATTGTCCTCGGGTCCTTTCGGGTTCGGGTCCAACCTTTTGGACTCGAGAAGACCTCTAGCACACAAAGAACAATGAGCCAGATATTTCACCAGATGTATAAATGTGAAGCATCCGGTTGGCGTTTCCACTCACTACCAAATATGGTGATGAGAGGAAGCCCAGTGGCTGGCAGTAGGAGCGAGATGGATTTTGGCCAACATTATGCTGATTTTCTCATCGATTAACCATTTGATCTCCATACAGTTTTCTGTTTCCAAAACTAGAATCTGTAACAAACGGAGTGGACTGCGTTTTGTAGACTTTACCCTTTGCCAAAGTTGAAAAAAAATTGCATGGTTTAGAAGTAGTGCAAGGGCGAATTGAGTTATTGCACAGACGCACTTCACAAAGCAGGCGTTCCCTAACGGAAATATGCAAATAAATAAATGCTCGAACACGCCAATAGGATCTCAATAGCTCGTACTTGGCTATGCCCTCCTTGCTTGTTCTGCCCACTATGACTAATTTGTTCCCATTGGAAATGACAGGCTGTGGTCTATCTTGGGTTAGTTATAAAACATCTTTACCTCTAGTCTGTCGTAAACACACTTCCTCTCTGCTTACCTCATGTCAAAATAAAAGTCCCGCACTGTCTACAACAGACCCACGTTTGGAAAGTCTGTTTAATAATACGATCCATCAGATATTTTGTCTCAAATTCCCCCGTCATAAGGACCAACCATCCTGTCCACCACACGGTAGCTAAGTTGAAATTGAATTATATTTCATTTCTGGCTTCCCACGCCACGGACTGTTTTTATGCAACCCAAAAAAATTGAAAGCATGGCTAGTGTATGTAAATACACCAGCGTTGATAAAAACAACTACTAACTAGCTTGACAATTCACTGACTGTGTTTAAAAATGTACCTACAGGTTGAATCGTTACATTAGCTAGCTACATTACTAGCTAGCTTGCTAAGTCAATGGGCATAACGTTAGCTAGGAAGCTACTGTAGCACTGACAACATCCCTGGACAACATCACATGATTGAACATAGCACGAAGTTACTGCCTAGCAAGAGTGGCAAGCATCTGATAGATTACTACCTATGTGATAGATGAACATGCTTACTCTGTCCCCAATTACCTTCATCCTCTCCCTGCATTGGGATGGGGTCCTTTCGTAGCCGAGCTCTGCTAGGGCTCGTGAGACCCGCTCGTACATTGCGGGACCAGGAGCCTTTCCAGAGAAAACGGTTCCTGCAACCTCCAATTGCTGCATTCGTGCCTCCGTCAGTCTTTCATTGCCCCACACCGCAATAAGGGCGTTTGTTTCGGATGGGGTCCACGACATCCCTCGGCAAGCCGTGAAGCTATTTGAGGCAAAGGCCGATCCACTTCGGCCTGCGCTCCCAGAAATCGTCATACCTACGTTGAGAGGTGAGAATCGATTAGGTGTAGAGGGATTGGAATGATATTGGTTGCTGTCACTCAAATCCTCCAATTCTGGTGATGGAACTTCTGTTTTCGGCATCTTTAACGGCGTCGATATCTCGGGAGAATGATCAGAGTTACTGGGCGCCGCCATCTTGCTTCTGTTGCTAAGGGGAGGGTAACCTAACGGAGCAGGCGTAAAAAGACTGAGGGGAGGGGGATGGGATACAAGTCTTTTGTGTAGATTGGGTACATTTCGGGATAGTGGTGGCACTGGCAGGTGAACAGATGTATTGAAATATGTATTAAAACTGGAATTAAACATGTTTCTCCTATTTGTCATTTTGAAATGTGTCATAAAAAAGGATAGTGGCAGCCAGCAGGCAGCCGACAGATAATAATTACCCCCAAAAAGTGAACTAGAAAAGGACATTTCAAGAAGGGAATGTATGTGCTTCTGTCAGCAGTCTAAAACTTTTTTAATGGTAGTGATTTATTTTTTTACGTCCTCGGGGGCTAATATAAAATGCAGTGCTCACATTAGCCACAGATTGCAACACTAGCTATGTTTATATTATCCTACTAGACTACTAAAGTAGCCTATATGCAAATAAAAATCGATCTGGCCTCATGGCCACATGTACTCTTAAATCTCCACTAATTGCAAGAAGAGAACTGGCCACCCCTCGAAGCCTGGTTCCTCTCTAGGGTTCTTCTTCTTTGGTATCATGGAATTAGCACGTTTTGTTTGTGCATGCTGCCACTTACTGTGCGGTAGTAGTGTGATACAAAAATAAAAAGGAAAGGGGAAAAGGTACAAATTGCACCACCAACTAACCCTACACCTATATACCACTATTTCATAAAAATCACCACCCCATTCCACTACTTTGACCCTAACTAGGTCAACGACCCTGGGAGGATGGGACTTTTTTAGTTCAACACACCTTGTAACTCTTCTGCAGTAAAACCTCGTACACCCACGGCCAGCCCACTCATTAGGCGGCCGCCTATGGCTAAACTGGCCAAGACGCACCTCCAACAACAACAACAACAACAACACATAAAACCTCAAATAATTCTGCCCAAAAACAATGACAATTTCCCTCAACCAGTGGAATATGGGCTTTTTAGGTGAGCGCTGATGCCACCCGTTGATAAAGAGTATGTGGTATTTTCTGTAGCCTACAGGCTGGAGATAAAATGTATGACAATGTAATAAGACGGACACCTTTTACATCATGCAGGTTTCACCAATCAAATAGCCTAACCTAAATGGCGCTCAATCAAATAAAAAAGAGCTGTCTTGTTAACAAACAACATATCCTAAAAACAGGACAGGTCAAAGTAAAGTGGACAATATGGAATGGACAATCACAACTGTTGTCCAGGAGTTTCACCCTATTGTCATGATCAGTGGTTTCAAGTTTGTATCCATCAACTTTTGACAAGCTGTTCATAGCGAAAAAGAAAATACTTCTGCATTTCCTGCTGTGTAAACACATTGCAAATAGGCTCACGATAACTCCTGATAAAGTTGGGTAGCTGATATTCAGAGCTTAAATAGACAAAATTGATTAGTCACAGGAATCAGGACTAATAAAGCCAATACAATGGCCTGTTTTACAAACAGTGGGCCTACACATGGATGAGCATTCATAAAATTCCATTGTGGGCCGACATGGTAGGCTATACCATATCCTGTCCGGACATTGTTTTTTTGTGTTTTACAAACGGTAGGCTTACCACATAGATGGGCATTCATAAAATTCAATTTCAGACAACACTGTAGGCTACACCTCAGTAAGCATGGACTGACGCCGACGCCTTTTGGAGGTCTTTTTTTGGTGCAGTTCCGGACCGGCCTTGATTTCCACATCCACGGACATAGACGTCTCTGTTTGGTTCAGATTTGGTCCAGTTTGGACCAGCCTTGATTTGGCCCAAACATAGACGTCTATAAATGACTTATTTTCAACTTTCATTCAGAACCAAAAATGAGCCTGATTTCAACATCCAGAAAATACATATTTTCAATGTTTGTAGAATATGTATTTTCAACATCAGGAAAATAAGTATTTTCAACTTTCATTCAGAACTGAAAATGTACCTGATTTCAACGTCTGGAAAATACGTATTTTGAACATACGGAAAATACCTTTTAACCTTTCATTCAGAACCTAAATTTTACCTAACTTAAACGTCTGGAAAAGTCATCTATTAGACATATTTTTTTAAACGTCATTTTGCTTACTGGGACTATTCTAGTTTTGTGGGGGGCATCATTTTTTGAACGGCAAGGACCGGCCCTGCGTACACCCAATTACTTCTCTGAAGCTGCCACCACAACTTCTATTTTCTGTGATTTACATTCAATTTCTGTGGTACAATTGATAACCATGGCATTGAATGCTAAGAAGCCAAACTTACTGAAGCACAAATTCGTATCACTCTGTATTGGCCTAGGCCTACTACTCACCCTTGACCCATCATCCTCTACTCTCTTCACTGCCTCAGCATATGACACCTGTTCTACTCTGAACCTGGCAATCTCAACCTGTCTCTCTCGCACCGGACACTTCTGATCCCCAGCAACATGGGCACCCCCACAATTGACACACACACTGTTTTTTCCACCAATAATACACATTCCTTTGTCCCATGCCCTCCTACACACTTCTCACATCTTGCAATCACCCTCCTACACACTGCTGCAACATTACCATAAGCTTAGCATCTGAAACACCTTAGGGGGTTCTGCACAAAAGCTAAAAATATGGAGCGCTTCACAGATTTGTGTGTCATCCTTTTGCAGCCTCTCTAGGTTTCCTCCTAGGTTCCTGCCTTGTAGAAGTTTTTCCTAGCCACTGTGCTTCTGAATTGCTTGCTTTGGGGTTTTAGGCTGTATCTGTAAAGTACTTTGTGACAACTACTGATGTAAAAAGGGCTTTATATAATACATTTGATTGATTTAAAACGGTAATAATCACTGATAAGACTAGAAATCATAGATATCAGTTTTCTGTGTGTTCTACAGTTACTACTGTATGCGATAAAGAGGTCAATGGAACGCAGACAATGGGGGATAGAAGGAGGATGCTGGATTGGTGCACATTCAACAAATCTGATCTAAGAAAGTGGATATTCGTCAATCCGTCATGATTGATGTATTGTTACAGGCCCACATTGTGGTTACTAAAGTCCGATTTTGATATATTTGGCTGTTTTCGCTGCATAATATTTAGAAGTTGTCCCTTTTCAGGTTTAGAAGAAGTGGCTGCTAAATGCTAACTCCAGTTTGTATAATCTTGTTGCATAGCTAGCATACAGAAATCGGTGGTGGTAGTCAAAGTCGTTTTTAACTGTAATGCAGTTGATTGGTGACAATAACCAGGTTTCCATCCAACCTTTTTATGCGAGTAAAGTATATGTAAAACATTTCACGTCCTTTTTTTGTTATGTGTTATATGTGTAACCCAAGTGTGCCTAGTAAGCTATGTCACCATAATAAGACCCTCAATATTTACTGGAAATGTGCATCAAGCTCATCACCGTGCACTTTCACCACCCTGTGAAGTTCATCATAACTTATTTACCCTGTAGCCTAATAAACTGCATGCTTTCCCGAGTCGTAGTGGGAGGACAACACACCATATCATCGCATGACCCCAAGTTTACTTCGATAGGACGGTTATTATATCAATTTATTTACACATAAAGTAGTTTCCACTGTCATTTTTTTATTTATTTTTTATTTTATTTCACCTTTATTTAACCAGGTAAGCCAGTTGAGAACAAGTTCTCATTTACAACTGCGACCTGGCCAAGATAAAGCAAAGCAGTGCGATAAAAACAACAACACAGAGTTACATATGGGGTAAAACAAAACAAAGTCAAAAATACAACAGAAAAAAAAATGTATATACAGTGTGTGCAAATGTAGCAAGTTATGGAGGTAAGGCAATAAATAGGCTATAGTGCAAAATAATTACAATTAGTATTAACACTGGAATGATAGATGTGCAAGAGATGATGTGCAAATAGAGATACTGGGGTACAAATGAGCAAAATAAATAACAATATAGGGATGAGGTAGTTGGGCGGGCTAATTTCAGATGGGCTGTGTACAGGTGCAGTGATCGGTAAGGTGCTCTGACAACTGATGCTTAAAGTTAGTGAGGGAGATAAGTGTCTCCAGCTTCAGAGATTTTTGCAATTTGTTCCAGTCAAATTGAGCTACTGCCCAATTGACTTCCATTCATATTTTGACCCAGAATGTACTACACAACACATTGAAAATGAATGGTTACCATTGCATTGGCGTTATGGCTAACACTAACAAGATGGCAGACTTGCACTGAATTGTCTTTGATGTAACATTCTATGTTTCTATGAAGGCACAGTATTTCTGTAAATGAAATAAGGCAGATACGGTTAATCTAAATAGTGTGTATAATTGGCCTTTTGATGGGCCTGGTGGAGTGTGCCATTGCTAAGAGCTCATCTTCTTTGTGACAATGTTTGATTGGACTTCGTTCAATTCAGAAACTGCTTTGGCAGCTGTTATCCAGTAGTGGGCATTTGCCCTTTGTGTGGCTAGGGGTCATGACCTGGTCAGAGGGGAGGAAAATCCTCCTGTCCACCCTTTTCTCTCAGTAGGCATGGTTTTTGACGCTCTCCATGTGTTTGATATGTGGTAAAGGTCAGATACAGGAAAGAAGGTGGACAGACTAACCTTTAAAGACAGGTTGCACATCCGGTTGTGAGGAGAGGCTATGAATTCAGAAAGAGTGCTTTATGTCAATGGAATAATACTGCATATTTTCATTCTGACCAGGCAGCCCTGGTCAATAGTAATGCACTATAAAGGGAATAGCCTGCCTTTTTGGTACGCAACCATGGACTTGTGTTTAGCAGCTCAAATGCACATTTTCAAGAGGTAAAGACAGCCCTAAAAGCTCCATAGGTGATTGGATATTCGTGAATGCAAATCTGTCCTAAAGACTAGGATCTGTTTCTATATGCCATTATGAGATCTCCATTATTCTCCATATATGTGCAGACATAACTTAAGATTAATGAGGTGATTGTTGTATTTGTACTCGTTCAGGACAAAAGGTTTGGCAATGAGGTTTATACTGGAGGCATTTACCT